TATATATTATTTTTAACCACTGTGCTCTCCAATATTTACTAGAAATCAAACTGGTAAAGATTTGTATTGTTCGATAAATTTGAAGCATCTCTAAGCTACTTCAATTTATCGCCTAGAACTGCGCAAAGTCAGCTTTTGCACCGCGAGTCGATTTAATTAAGTGGCTCCCATAAAAAAAAAATCATAACAGCTACCTTTGCAGTAGCGAAAATGTTTACAAAGTTTTAAATTTTCGTTTAATCTAATCAGACAAGAAACATAAAAGTGAAAATTGTTTTTTAATATTTATGTATGTATTTTTCGAATTTAAATATTGGATTTACGTTTTACCAATAAAAAAAAAGTTTATACCATTTTCTGTACAACCCATAATTTATATTGTGTAACGAAATTTAAATAAATTTGTTTCATAAAACAATAAAAACAGCTTCATGCATATTTACATAAAGCTTTTGTTTATTATTCCATATTTCCATATTTTTATTATATTTTTCATGCTGTGCCTAGCATTCAACAACAAAGCGACGAAATATTGATTTGTCGAGTAAACGAACTCATACTGACGTCCTTTTTATTTTTGTATGTCGCTTTATATATTTCTGTGCTTTCTGTATATGTATATTTGTTTTGGCTAAAAAATATTTATTATAAATTAAAATTGGCTAATAGGTTTTCTCAATATATTCTTGTTAGATTATGGCCTTTAAGAGTCCTTTCAGTGGTTAAGGCTTTCCTATTTTAAAATGTTATCTGAAATCAGGCTTTAAATGTATCAAAGATTATAATATTATATTTATTGTATCGCTTCTATTTGACCAAAAAGTTGCTTAAAACTTTAATACCTGCTTAGATTTTATAGCGGGCTTTCTGTAAACATCGCCGTTTAAAATGGCTGGATATATGTTACATCTATCTATCTATCTGCACTCTAAAGTGATGTCCTCACTATATTCCATGAAAGTTAAAGCCAGTACGATTATTTCCTGATTTTTCTTATATGTATAATTTATGTGAGACCGAATATTAGTGGAGAGCAACAGCTAAAAATTTGCCGCATTTACATTTTTGTTTTCTATAAAGCTATAAAACACATAAGCATTGTTATAAGCATTCTTCCTGCCTTTTTAACTTGGATAATCTCAAAGGAAGAACAACTTGAGATCACAGAAACACTCTACAGATTTAGCTGCGTGTTTTTATTGCATGCGTTTTCCCACCTATATATAATCGATGGTTAGTGATTAGYATTTGATTAACTTATACAGTTAATAATGTTGATCAGATCTATTTCTACATATCTTTTAGCTGCCTTATTTTTGAGTCCCTACAGAAAGTGTCTATATTAAGCAAGATGGCAGAAAGTGCGGATAATGAATATATTGCCCGGTAAGTAAATAGATAAAACTAAGTATGTGAACGATCCAATAATACAAGCCTATTTTATAAGTCGCGAACTTCCAGCCCCAATGTTATCCAGAAAAAAGATAAGTGTTTGGTCGGTCCTCAAAAATTGTATTGGAAAGGACCTAAGCAAGATTACCATGCCAGTTGAGTTGAATGAACCGTTAAGCTTCCTACAACGAATCTGTGAATATATGGAGTATGCCAATGTCTTGACCTATGCTGCCCACCAAGATAATCCAGTGGATCGCATGAAATATGTGGCAGGTGAGTGAAAATCAGAAATAAAATAAATTTTATTAGAATTATGAATCAGAAACACTACGCAAATCTTTATTATGTTAATTACGTAAAAATAATAAAAAACTTCTTCTTCAATCATCAGCATTTGCCGTATCGGCCTTGGCTTCCAACTTGGACCGACTGGGCAAGCCGTTCAATCCGATCCTTGGCGAAACCTATGAGCTGCAACGAGAGAATTATCGCATTGTCTGCGAGCAGGTCTCGCACCATCCACCGATATCTGCATTTCATGCAGAATCCAACGATTTTAATTTTTACGGCTCGATAAATCCGAAAATTAAATTCAGTGGAAAAAACGTTGAGATACGTCCAACTGGAGTTGTTACTGTCGAGTTTCCTAAGTGAGTATACAGAGTTTTCTATTAAACCTTAAATGTAAATCTGCTAAAAAGTTAGAATAATACAGATAGATGTGTAAGACTTGCCCTAAGTTGAATAATATCTACGTCAGAGTCAAAATCAATATAAAAAGAAAAAAATGCTTCAAGTTACCCGTGGGATAACGCTGTCAAATAATCTATGAACAGAAGTGATTTAGATGTTCCATTGGGAGTGTCTCAACTGAACGGGACCAGAGCATAAGAAGCAATGAACTAATTAAAGCTAAGTGGCAAATCACTTTGGCATCTCTGCATGGTTTATTTCTTTAATTGAAATTCATGATAAATTGGAAATCGTCTGCACCGCTGGATATAAACAAACATCGCACAGCATTTGGTGATCTAAATGATATACCATTATCGATCCAGACAAACCTTAAAAGTTTTAAGCCTGCTTTAAATATATATAAAATAGATTTTCTATTTCTTCCGAATATTAATTACACATATATTTAAAAGTTTTTAGTAACCTTGAATTGATCTAATTTACTATAAAACTAATTTAGACAGAAACAATTTTGTATTCACGCCAATTTGTAAAAATTCAATAATTATTTAGGAAATTCAAAATGTTTGTAGTAATCAATAATCATCAATCAAACAGCTTAAACATTTTTTCCGAATTTCTTAACAAGTTAAATACTTTCGATTATATTTATAATATTTGCATAAACATTTTTCATAGATGGAATGAAACCTATACATGGAGTAATGTCAATTGTTGTGTGCACAATATTATTGTCGGAAAACTTTGGATTGAGCAATATGGAACCATAGAAATCACAAACCATGCCACTGGACATGTGGCAACATTAACCTTCAAATCATCAGGTCTCTCAGACAAAGATCTTTACAGGGTAGAAGGCTTTGTCAAGGATGAAAAGTAAATAAATAAACATTGAATTAATATTATTTCAAAGAAAATTCTATACAAACATTTTCATTACAGTCAGCAAAAACTTCTATTCCTTTATGGCAAGTGGACAAAGTTCTTGAAGTGCTGCTCGATGGAAGATTATGAGGAGCACATGCAGCAGGAGAAGAAAATTGAGGAAGAGAAACATTGTAATTCCACGCATAATGCTGCTCAAGGCAAAATGTTTTCCAAATTAAATAGTTTTAAATTGGATTCCTTTCGCAGTTTATCTCTACAGGAGGTAAGAACCAATTGGTAAAGTGAGAAATTGGATGAAATTTATTGATTTATAGGACAAGGAGTTCACACCTAATGAAACCAACGATGGGCTGCCCAGAAGTGATTCGGATATTAGTCTGAATTTGCCCAATTCTATACTACTATGGAGGTGTAAGCCAAGACCTGCCAATAGCAGCGAGGTAACCAGACTTTTTTTTAGCCTATTCAATTCTAATTCTAATGCTTGCTGTAATTATAAAATTTTGTATATTTTATTAAATATTCGAAGAAATTTTATGTATGATATGTAAGGATAAGAGAAAATTCAAATTATGTACTGTAATTTTATGTAAAGTTTCCTCTAAATTTCAGTTTCTTGAAAACCTAATTCTATATATTTACCTCATAATTAATATTCCAATCATTTTGTAAAGCAGCACCTGAGCCTCAGCAATTGTAATATACTAATCCTCGTTAAAAACTACTTCATATTCCATGCATTTTTTTAGTATTATCATTTCACTAACTTCGCTCTGCAATTGAATGTAATGGAGTCTAATATGAAACCACCAGATACCCTTTGCCCCACCGACGCACGACTACGGCCGGATATATTATGTTTGGAGCAGGGCGATTTAGATGGAGCCTCAAGGGAGAAAGCACGTTTGGAAAAACAGCAGAGGGACTATAGAAAACAAGAAAAAAACTCGGATGAGCTTGGGCCAAGGTAAACTATTTTGTATATTTGTGATATACAAGTGTAATTTTATTTTAATGGGCATACATACATTTCTCAGATGGTTCAAAAAGGCTTACAACCCGTACACAAAGAGTGAAGCTTGGATTTATAATGGCAACTATTGGGATCGCAACTACAAGAATGTTAATGCAATTTTTTAAAGGCAAATGTATATAGTACCTATAGTAGCCGTTATTATGTATCGTACAAAATAAAGTTAATGTGAGTTATTTAGTAGAATCAATGTTATACGGAGTGCATTTATTATGCTACAAATTCGTTGAATTTGTTTACTAAATTCATATCCATGTATAAAAACGGAAAATGAAAAATAAAATTGTCAGAATTATAGTACTCAGGATATACAGCTGCTAATTCACGATACACACCTGGCAGGTGCCGAGACAGCTTTATGCCATTTCATAGCTTATTTTAATAAACAGATCGTTGATTTCCTCCTACTTAGCAAACTGTCAGTCGGCGATAAATGCATAATGCAAAACTACACATACATACATATGCACGTGTGTATGTGCACGTCTATTTGGGCATATCTGTTTGAGTTTATACGCATGCATACAGTGTTCGTAAATGTATATGTACGTATATGCTTATGTGTTGGTGTAGGTACATGTTCAAGCATACATGCATGTATGCAGAGATGTCAATATTCACACATATGCACATATTCACGCCTATACAGTTCAGTAGTTAGCTGTCTAAATGGGTGCTCAGTATATGTGTGTACATTTGTATGCATGCTTTAGCATACGAACATACATGTGAAAGCGTATGTATGTATGAAGTAATTGAATGAAAATGTATGCAATACCTACATATATATAAATAAATGCATAGTGCATGTGCATTATTTATAACTTGAGATTCGTCTTTAGCAAAGACAAAATAAAAGAAAAGAAAAAACCATTTGTTTGATCGGCTAATATCGATCAGCATTAGTTGTTCAGTCGCTTAGAAGTCGTTGACGATTGATGGCACTTAATAAGATCGTTAAAGCGTTGGGCGACGGTAAAAATAAATTTATATTAAAATCTTGTGACCCGGATATTTAAATGCTTTAATGCATTCAAATAATTTGTATTATTATGTGTATTAAGTGTTAGTGTAAGTGTAACGAAAACGCAATGTTGCGCAATATTTATTTTCAGAACCTTAAAGGAATACGTGAAAGTACGAAAGTTCTATGTGCACTGAGAACGCTAATATGTGCCTGATTAATTAGCATAGAAATAATATTAAACGTCAACCCGTTCCTTCATTTTATGCAGCGATTATGAATGAAGTAAGTATTGACATATGCCATTTATATACATATGTATGTACATATATGTATATACACACATACATACATACGTGTTTATGTATGTGTATTTTACATGCATGTGTATGTATGTCAATAAATTCACATGTTCACAGACATAGCGTATACACGTTTGTCATTGCCAGAAGATTGCGACATACATATGCATGTACGCAAATACTTTTGTATTTATTTATATATATAGTACACACATACATACATATGTACAAATGGCAAAMACTTATTCGTCATCCCTTTTGTGCCTTAACTAGTAAAGCTAATTTTATGACAGGAAGACGAACTTTACAGCTAGTATACTCTACAAGAGGACAATTTTCTAAAAGTCCATTAGTTCAGTTATAGCAGTTGCTGAGGATAACTATGTTCCCACAGCAGTGGCAAAGCCAAAGAGTTTGCAATTGCATGCTTATTTGTGTGCGCTCTCCTTTGCTCTCTTCTTTTGTGTGCAGCTCAACGGTCGGCTGAAGCCGTTGTATTGTTATTCTATTTTCGTTTACATTTCGGTTTGAGAGCGCTCATGTCTGTGTGGCTCTCTATTAAATTCGTTGCAGCTGTATTATTATGTTCTTGTTTTAGCTTCGCTTCCTTCATAATAATTAGTTAATCATGTGTAAACTTATTTACGCTCTCAACGTCATTATGAAGAGTTCCGCTCTCTGCGTGTGCCGCTGCTCTCTTCTAAACAGATCAACAGTTGCGTTGCTGTCCTTTTTTCTCTTTATGAAAAGAGAGCTATTGCATTTGAGTTAAGCATACAAAATGAAGGCGCCTGCCTTCAGTCGCCATTCTTTATAAAATGTTTTTTGGAATGCGGTCGATTGAGTCGTTCGCCGGATCTTTAGCAAATATATAAATATATAGAAGACAATGAATGAAACAAATTAACAAATAGAAAAAGTGCTATAATATTAATAAGTGAAATAATGTTATTAAGTGCATTCAGACAAATCCAACTATGAATTTGAAATCGAGCAGAGAGCGGTTAACGGTAAATTTATGAGAACATGAAAAAAGGAAACGTAAAATGTAAATCGTTGCTCAGGCAAATAAAAAACACAAAATGTCTGCGACTGGAACATATTGATTTAAAGTTTTGTTAGACAGAAGAACAAGTTGCATTTACGCCTTTAATTTTTTATGAACTAAGAAATGTTGTTTACCGTAACTTATTGAAAAGATAAAATAAAAAATAAAAGAGAAAGGACCGTTATTGAATGAAAATAGCTTCAATTATATTAATAATCACATATTCTACTCCTCTAGACCTTTGATTTAGTTTTTGTAAATCAAAGTTATCAGGCTCAAACACCGGATGCCGTAAGCGTTTCGCAAGGAGATTTGGTTGAACTCGTAAATACGATAAAAAGCCTCAACGAGACAAAGTACGTATGAAGCTATTAAAATAATTTATATTAGGAAAAAAATATGTCTAATTTACTATTTTATCTCATATATATTAGATGCTTCATAAGAGTCACTGATGGATTAAATGCGCGGGAAGGCTTGGTCCCGATGGAAATATTAGAAGTTAATTCATCGTCGTTTAGTTCAAGTAAAAACGAAAATGGCAAAACCACGGAAGCAGACATTGATTTCAAGAAGAGGTAATCATATTACAATTATAATGAAAAAGTTGTTTAAAGTATAATAAATATTAAATGTTCCAGGACCATTATTGGGGAACTCTTGGAAACGGAGGAGGAGTTTTCAAGAGACTTACAATATGTAATTGATAAGTATATAAAGGCTATTGATAAGCCGACTACGCCACGATCGATTCGCGACAACAAAGACATTATCTTCTCTAATGTTATACAAATTGCCGAATTTCACATGTAAGTATCAAGAGTCTATATCTGTGTATTATAAAATTTGTATTACTTAAAATTAACATTCATTTTAGGGTTTTAAAGGAGGGCCTTGAATGCTATAGAAATCAGCCCAATATGATAGCTAAAACATTCTTAAGACTGGAAAGAGATTTTGACAAACATGTGAAATATTGCCGTAACGAGTTACTCGCACAAGAGTTCCTAGCGACCAATGTAGAAACCCAAAATTTTTTCCGGGTAAGATAAAAAGCAACATACTTACGTGTTATTTAACATTATTATCTTACAATATTACATTAAGAGTATGTACATTAAATACTACAATATGAGTATATTTATATTGTAGTGAAATTATTTTTAATTGTCATATCTTACATTTTCATATGAATATGATGAAAAATTGTTAAAGACTTGTGTGGCAGCCCTCGTTTACAACTTGTCTCTGCGATCGGTACGAACATTTTCGCACGAGTGTTTTCTATTTTAAAGAATGTTTTCCAACCATGATGCAACCTCTTGCAACTTGTTTGTTTTTCCCCAAGTTTGATGTAAGTTGCGTTGATTAATGTTCGATCGGAAGGTCAAACTTGCTGCTCTTGTTGTTTTCGTCTAATTGGTAAAACATATGTTCGCACCGCGAATCGAGTGGGATGTGCGCACTACCTACAACATTGAGAAAGCTCAAGCTTTTATCAGTTGCACCTGTTTTTATACATATACATATAAACAATACACTGCTCAGATTTGTTTGATTGTGAACTTATGTTGCTCTGGCAGTTTATGAATGAATATTAGGTTGCAATTTATTGACTATGTTCAGTATGGCCTTTTGGCTTTTTCGTTATGCTCGCTTCAGAGGGCGAAGGAAGAAGAGTATATACCCGATGATACGCAGTTGAGTGATAAATGTTTTGATTAGCTTATTTATGAATTGAAAGTGAAAGTGAGTATATATTCGTGTGAGGTAATAAGAAGTGTGGAATATATTAGAATACATTAAATCGAACTGAATACATTAGTATAAATTATATTATATTGTATATTATTGTCTTGAAATTAGCTTATTAGTCAAAGCAATATGATTATTATAAAGCTACGCTTACTGTTGTCAAGGCAAGTTGAACAATAATTTATTTTTAATATATTGAAAGAGAATTAATATACTTGAGTTATCAATTAAAATTTGTTCCAAAAAACAAATTTGTTCTGTTGAATACATTCTAAATGAGTATTTTGGGTAAAAATATGTTACATATATATTATATATTTAACATAATTATTATATATATAAATAGAACTATTCCGATATAACTATATATGTTTGTTTGACTCTCTAACATCAGATCGTATATCTGAAATTTAAGTTTATCAATAAAATATGACTATATTAAGGAAAGAACAAAAGCAAGAAGCAGAGCAGTTAAACACATTAACTATGTATGTGCAACAGTATTTTGTTGTTGTATACAAATTATCATAAATAGTAGAAGGAAAAATCTACAAAAACTACACAGAATTGCTGCCCAATGATCGTGTATGAGCCGAAGTCAGACAAAGGCTCGACTGTTGGGCTCGATGTTGTGTGGGTGTATCGTTGCCCTATATAAGGGCAAGCCGTTTGAAGGCAGCTTCAGTTGGTTTTTTGACTCCCACCTGATCAGTCGTGCAGTGCAGTGCTCCTCCTCTTCTTCTTCTGGATGTGCGGATAATATTTTAAGTAGTTAAGAACAATAATAAGCATAAGTATTAGGCAAACTTGTAATTGTTCTATTATATAACTTAAGGAATTGATTAATAAATTTACTGCTGAATAATGATAATGATCTATTGTCTATATTATAAGTGAATAATAGTATTTAATAATCGTATTAAGTATATTTTAGGCAGGATTATAATAGTTGTGTTAAATAACTTTATTATTTATATTCATTATGATTATTCGTTTTAAAGAGAAATAATTGTTGCTCTCTCTGACTGACTGTTCTCTCGCTAACTGTTCACCTTCAGAATGTTCCTTCTCTGCCTTTTTCATCTGTGATTCTCTGATCTCTGGCTGTCTGATCTCCTAGTGCCTGGCTGCTTATTCTCTGGCTGCTTATTCTCTGGCTGCTTATTCTCTAGCTGCTTATTCTCTGGCTGCCTATTCTCTCACTGAATGTTCTCTCGCTTTGTCTTTCATCTCTTTGGTTGAGCGCTCTCTGACTTGCTATATTTCGCTCGGTCTCCTCTAATCAGAATACCTTTCTGCCTGTAAAAGGAGTTCCAAGCTATATACATATATGTATGTATGTATGTGTAATGTTCTTCAATCTTTGCAACACCCTTTGTTTAATATTTTTTATTTTTTTTTTTTTTATAAAATTAATTTTTTTTACCTTGTTATATGTCATATAATTTCAATTATTCTAAGTTAAATTTTTGCACAAACAAATTTGTTTATAGACGCATTTGAAATGTCGAAGAATTTAAAACAGAGTATAGAAGAGACTTTATTGCGTTCACTAGGAGCTTTTTTTCGATGAAAATTTAATAAACAAAAATGTCTAAAAAGTTAGCAGAAAATTGTATAAATAGTAATTAGAAAACATTTTGCTCACGTCCGTTCGACGGAGTGTGTGGGTTTCTCAAAAGTTTCTCAAATGAATTATATACATATGTATAATTTGTCTATATGTTTATATAGATTTATATTTTTCCTATGCTTACATTTATAAACTACATAGGTTGCAGTATTTGCAATATGTATGTATGTAAGTCAYAGATATCTATATATACATTTGATTTTTATTTGGTCAAATAGACAGACACACACAATGTTCAATGCTTTTCAGAATATTATGTATACATACATACATACAGTCAGTCACATACACTATGTATATGCATGTGTGCGTGTACATATGTATGTAGATCTATTAGTTTATTTTTAAATCCAGACGTTTCTCTTTATTAAAGCTTTTGCACACTTCAGTGTATTTTGAGTTGTGTTTGCCATCGTTTCGTGATCTTTACACGTGGATATTACTTTCCTTGGTACCTAAAAATTATTTGCTCAAGATTTTCATACAAAAAAATAAATATATTTGTAAAATAAAAATTATAAATATTACAACGTAATCGATGTGTTTTTTCTATAAGTTAATACTGTTATGCAAGATTCATTAAAATTAATATAGATATATATGCATATGTGTATACATATATAAACTTGCAGATATCTATATAGATCTCCCTGTGCGTGCGTGTGTGTGTGCGAATGTGTGGGAATAGATGCGTAGTGCTAAATTTATATTGATGAACGAATTTAGCTTTCAAAGTTAGGAATTGTACTTGTGGAGGAATAATCAAAGATGGATATACATACATCTATGTACCTATGAATGCATGTATGTCTGTGTGCATATTCATAAGCAATTACATACATGACCCAGTTGCATACATCTGCTATGTGTGTATGTCGAATTTGCAACAAGTGATTTTTATTTAGAGATATTCATCATCTCGTCTACCCAGATCAATCTGAACCATTTTACACAAGGACATTCGTAAATAAATACTGGATACTATACAAATACACCATATTCCAATTGAATCGAGGATAGAAAGTAAGTCATTGCCCGTTATATCGGCCAACACACACAACTACAACTTGGCGTGTCTCAGCCAACAACAAGTGGCAGCTACGGTTATATTCAAGAGCAAAGCGTATTCCCAGCGTGTCGTCTGTGCGACCATGAAAACACCACACGAAATGAGTGAAATTCTTTCAAAATATTTTAATGAAATTATGTAATATGGTATTATTATAAATATTAGGACATTATTCATATTTTATACACATATTTACTGTCAAATTAATTTGCAAATTTTAAGCAATTGGAAAGAAAGATAATTGCTCAAGTCGGTGCAGGCTGTTTAGCAGGGTATTTACTGTGCATATAGCGCAGCTGTTGGAAACCATCAAGCTTACCAATACACACACATATGTATATATATATACATGCACAGACAAATACACACGCACAAGCAAAACACATACAGTTGCACGCACGCCGCTTGCTTTGCATTTGATGTCATTGCTGGGCTTTTTTCTGCTTCTTCTTTGCCATCAATTCTAAAAGTTTAAATTCGATATTATTGATGGGATTTTATTGACAATTTTAGGATTTTTAAGGGGTATTTAAATTTTTTTAAATATATATATTTTATATTTTGATTTCTCTCAGTGTAAAATATTGTCAACTTAAAAATTGAATAC